GAGAGAGAGAGAGAGAGAGAGAGAGAGAGAAGGAGGGAGGTTGAGTCATGGCAACTGGACTTAATTCCACCTGGATGACTGAGAATTTTCATCAACATTTTGATATGTATATATGTAACTAAGGCCTCCTATATTAAAAGTTATGATCAGGGTACATTATTACTTTTATGCAAATTGTCCAGAATGCACACTTCATTCTTTTTTTACACAATAGAATTAATTTGATTGCTTTGTAGACAAATGATATGAATATGATTTAAATGAACCTGCGATTCTCCATAGGGATTTTTTGGGGAGCCTTAATTATCAACTTTACTCTCTTTTTCTAGGGACTCCTGAGGATTACTCCCAGTATTTCAGTATGAATGTTACCACTGCTGTACTCAGCCTCCTAAAGCCAATAAACAGGGACTTTCATCAGAAATTTGATTTGGTTATTAAGGTAAATCCACTAATTTCTATGCATTCTACTTTGTTAAATAGTGGAATCTGTGGAAAACTATCAGCTTATAATGAAATATTTTCAAAGAAGTGTGGTCCCTTAAGTATATTGACTTATAATTCATCATCAATTTATTGTCAAAGTGTAAGAAACTAACCTACATCACTGTAACAACTGTTCTGATTAAAATGCTCCATGGAAGGAAAGTTTTTCATACTTAAGGAGAACAGTCTACAAATTGGAGACCCAATTCCAGATTTTTAACATGCAGTGAATTTGATGGCTCATAGTTCTACATGTTACGCTCAGTCAGAATGAATTCTATTCTACTGACTTGCTCCCAGGTTTAGAATTTTAACCTAAATCATACTTTTTCTAAGCTGTCCTTCAAGTGTGTCTTGTGAAATGCAGAATTTAAAATACCTTACAAAAATAGTATTATATTATTATTTGCCATATTGGCTGCTCCTGATTTACCCAAAATCAAGTTCTTTTTAATTTAATTTTAATTAATATTCCACTTTCAAGGCCTCCTGACTCTGCAATGACCCTGGGCAGCTTGGAGTTGTGTAAAATTTAAAAATAACATATATGCTTGTGAACCATTTGAGTGAAGAGGAAGTTATAATCTCATCTCTTCTATTCCTGTTCAAGACTGGTATTTTTCCATGATGTCTATTTGTGGGAATACAGCTTCTTGGGGAATGCTGGCTGGCATGCTGGCTGGGAATTCTGGGAGATGAAGTCCACATATCTCAAAGTTGCTGAGGTTGAGAAACACTGCTCTAAAGGGATGCTTTTACTTAGCATAATCCCCCAAAACATGGCATGTAGGAGAGATAAGATTCCTATAACCTGTGCACTTTGCTTACATACAGAAAGGGGAAAAGGATGAAAAGGAAATAAATACTTCAGCCACCATATGGCCACATAAAGTGGACATCTGTGGTTAGGGAAATCAGCTCTTCCTCCTCTGTAGGAAAAGGCCAATCTCCCAAGAGTCAAATACAGTCAAAGTTTACATTAAAAAAAAAAAAATTAGGAAAAGAGATCATCTTTTTTTTTAAAGGTCCTTTTTAACTTAAATAGCTTTATGCAAAACAGGAGTGGGGGAAATAAAAATATCAAGCTGCTCAAATCACAGAGAACTTCTTATAGAAACCTCCAATAGAACACTATAAGGGAAAATACAAAATACAAATACAAAATACTTTAATGACCAAGTATAAAATATATACAAGGAAT